AGAGAGAGAGAGAGAGAGAGAGAGAGAGAGAGAGAGAGAGAGAGAGAAATCAACCAATCATAACAAACGCTGGAGGGGCTATGGGGAAAAAGGAACCCTTCTCCATCATGGGTGGCAGGGCAGACTGGTACAATCACTATGGAAATAAGGGTAGAAACTCATCAAAAATAGGACTGGAGGTCCCATTCAAGCCAACTATTCCCCTCCTGTTTATTTTTCCAAAAGTACTGAAAATATCATACCACAGTGATATATGTGCACCCATGTTTATAGCAGAGAATTTGTAATAGCTAACTCGGGGAAACAACTCAAATGCCCATCAACTGAGGAATGGATAATAAAAGATTTGGTATTTGTATACAATGGAGTATTACTCAGCTATAAAGAAAGATGAACCTGAGACTTTTATAGGTAAATGGACCCAAACAGAGACCATACTCATAAGTGAAATAAATCAGACCTGCGTTTGTAAAAATCATATTATCTCCCTAGTGTAAGAACCTGGAAGAGTAACTAAAATCTGAAAGTTACAATAGATACTGCTCAAAGGGAAAGAACATCTGGGATGAGGAAAAGGAGAAAATAAAGAGAAAAAAGAGGAAGGGAAAAAATATACATATATACACACATAAAATAGCTAAAGATAATTGTACTGCTAATGTTTTTTTGGTTTATTAAAAGGAACAATTAGGGGCCTGGGATGGCTCAGTAGGATAAGTGCTTGCCTGGCAAGTAGAAGGGCCTGAGTTCAATCCCTGGTTCCACCAAAAAAAAAAAAAAAAAAAAAAATGAAGAAGAAAGAAACAATTAATACTTGATATATTTTGACCAATTTTGCCTATTTATATCTGATAATCTGAACAACTACTTTAAAGACAATATGTAATAAAATAACCATTGCTGAATTTTTGCCACATAGATTTTTGGAATTCTGTATTATTTCTTTTTTTCTGTATTATTTCTAGTTTTTTTAATTATTTACTTTCTTTACAATAAAAAAATTAAATTAAATAAATAACTGACAGTACTGAAAAAAAAGCCCCACTTCTCAACCCTTCCCATTTCATTTCCCCTCTAAAAGATGTGTTTGTATGGTCAATATGTTTCCTTTCATCCTTTTTCTATGCAAGTGTGTAAGTATGCATGTATGTATTATATTGAAATATGCAGTTTTACCTAATTGATGCCATTTTATTTTTACAAAACATATATCATACCAAACAAATGATAAAGTCTCTTTTCACTCAATATTATTACTTCAAATTTTTCAAAATCAACTAAATAGAGATAGATGTACATAATTCATTTTAGCCATTTCATGATATTTTGTGGTTTAGATAGACTAATATTATGAATAATCATTTAGGTTTTCCAGTTGTGCATTTTGCTAATATTTGCATTCTGCAATGAACAATCTTGTTAATTCTTCATTATGTACATATCTGAGGAATTTTCTAGGTTGGTCCTATTTTTTTTTTTTTTTTTTTTGCAGAACCGGGGATTGAACTCAGGTCCCTGCGCTTGCCAGAGAAGAACTTATTCCACTGAGCCATCTCCCCGGCCCCCTATTTCTTCTTAAAGTTATATGGCCAAGTATTGGAGAAACTAAATATTTTATTTTTGCTAAAACTTTCTCAGAATTTACATGCTGTCTCTAATTTCTCCTCATCTTATATTTTAAAATATATTTTCTAGATACTTCTTTGGAGTGCAGGTGGTACTTAGTATAAAAAGATCTGAGTGAATTCTACTTCTGGAAGATGGCAAGCTAGCATAACTGTATTGCATTTCTTTTAATAAGAATTAAGAAGAACAAAAAAAGTGACAGAAAAGCATGAGTTTTAGGAATGAACACCAAGATATCCTTTAGTAGTCTCAAAGTTATTTCAAATGGTCTGTGTATTGAGGTAAGAAAGTAAGGGAGAAATTGATGCTAGAATGAGCAGTTCCCATAGGAGGTGATAAGAGGACACTATAATGTGCAGGAAAGTTTTTTCAGTTCTGTTCTGGCCAGTCTCATGCTTTTTCTTAGGAAAATCCTTCACTTTTTTAGAACAGAGTTAGGCTTTCACACAACCCAAGCCAGTTACTTAGTGTTGACAAGTTATAATTATGCTAAATGGAATGGTGGATGAAACAATGAGACTGAGCACATATACACACAGCAGTAAGCACATGGTTGCATGAAGATGGTAAACAGCACCATCTAGAACTTAATGCCATTTTTTAAAATTAAAAATTCATGAAAGTAGTTGAGCTAAGGTAAAAGATATGACTGAATATTTCCATTGTCATGTACTGAAAAGGAGATTTAAATTTAAATTTGAGTCTAGCTGAATTAGGAACTAAAACAGATTTAAAAAAATATACAAACTTTGGGGGAAAATATAATGACCCAGAGCCTTTGTACCTTATGAATAGGATAAAAGCCAAAGTTCACAACAGAGGATAACAAAGCAACTCATACTCAGTCACTCCAGATTGATCCCAAAATAATCCAGAAATTGGATGTAGTATATAAAAATTTTAAGGCTCTCTTAACATATCTCACATATTGGCTTGCCAGATAGCTCAGCAGACTAACGCACCTGCTTAGACAGGTGCACGGACAGGGTTCAATCCCTGATGTGTGGTGCTGTGCTGTCCCGCCCCCGGGTGTGCTGAGACAGTCACTGAGACTGACTGTGGTAATCCCAGTGCTTGGGAGGATGAAAGCAGGAGGATTGCTATGAGTATGATCTGTGTAATGAGACCCTGTAGACTCTGTACTAAATACATAAAAAACAAAAATTCTCACATGTGAAAGAGACCAAGAGATGGAGAAAGGCGGTAGGGAGTAGAAGGTAATATAGATAGAGAGATAAATAGATAGATAGATAGATAGATAGATAGATAGATAGATGTGTTACATATATGTACAAACTCCCCAAGAACAATGTAATCAGTATATACTGAAAATATGTACTAATTAAAAATAAATTTTAACAACTGTCCTAAAAAATCCAGGTGGAGTGCTGCTTGACCGTAATTCTAGCTCTTGGGAGGCTGATGTAGGAGTTTGCAAGGAGTTTGAGGCCAATTTGGGCTTCACAGAGAGCTCAAGGCCAACCTAAACTACATAACAAGACTTGTCTCAAAAAACTACACACAGTTGGGCCCGGGAGATGGCTCAGTAGAATAAGTGCTTCTCTGGCCAGCAGCAGGGTCTGAGTTCAATCCCCGGTTCCGCAAAAAAAAAAAAAAAAAAAAAACTACACACAAAAAAGGCCCTTTTCTACAAAGGCCTTATCCTAAAGCATATAAAATAAACCCATAATGATTGATTAAACAGAAATTCTCAAAACAAATAAAATGTATTAAAATGAGGAAATTACATAATTAAAATTATAATTATCTGAATTTGTTTAAAATTAGATGACAGCAGATTAAATAAGATAGAGGGGGCCAAAGAGATACCTCAGCAGTGTAAAGCACCTACTTAGGCAAGCTTACGCAAGCACAGGGAACGCAATTAGATCCCCGGCACCATATGCCATGCCAGCCCCACCCCCAGTGTGGGTTGAGCAGGCCAGAGTCCAAGCATAGTGGTGTATGCCTATAATCCCAGTGCTGGGGAGGCTAAAAACAGAGCATCACTATGAGTCCAAGCTGCGTAGTGAGACCCTGTAATAAGTAAATACACTAAAAAAAAAAAAAAAAAAAAAAAAAAAAAAAAAAAAAAAGAAGAAGATAGAATAAAAGGTATCTAATCTTAAGAACAGACAAAACATTATTGAAGAAAAAAGTGACCCTGGTTCCACACACACACACAAAAAAAAAAAACTAAGTCTTAAGAATGTATAGAGAGACGACCAAAGACCACAGGATCCTGAATAGACCCAGAGCGCAGGCCCGGCGAGTGAGTGAGACTACCCAGGGCCTGGCAGGATCCTGAATAGACCCAGAGTGCAAGCCTAGCATGGAACCCTTCAACAGAACTCCCTGCAAAGAGGCTAGAGGCAAGACCCACCCAGCTGATTCAGAAGCAGAACATCTTGCCAGAGAGACACAAAGGGTTCAACTCTAACAGCTGCAGCAGAAAGAAGTAGAGCACAGCAGCCAGATCCAAGCAACACCCACCTGGAGGAATCTGAACTTTGTAGATCCGGACCTGTTGCTAAGGTAATAACTCTATCCAAGCTCTAC